TTATTTCACCACTTAAGAATTAYTGTTGTTAAAAAGGTTTTCGCAGACCTAAGTCACTCTTTCTGCAGCTAAACTCTATTACCTTCTGAACCTGCTGATACCCCTGACCTCAGAGAGCTACTGCTTCCTTAAAGATTCTTTTAAAAATCCTTAAAGATTATAAGAAAAAAAAAAAAAAAGAAAAAAAACCCAGAGCATATCTTGTGTCTTGTTGAGTTCATTGAATATATCCCATCTCCTGCTCCATGGGCTTTCAGTAACGTCACATCTATGTTCTCCTCTCTAAGCTGGAGTCCCAGCCTCTTTAGTCTCCCTGCTACACAGCTCTTTGATCTCCCCAGTCATTTTAGTCACTCTCCACTAGACCTTCTCTAACACCACCAGAATAATGAAGATATCAAATAGCAATAGACTTCAATGTCAACTGTTCTCCAAGGATGGCTTTTCAACCATCACAAGACTTGCCCTGCGTATTTTAATTTAGAATATTAAAAAATTGAATTTAAAATTTATTTTTAATTAAATTTTAATTTAATTCCTTGTTTTGGGGTACACAAGTCTTTTGGGGTCAAAAGACTGGCTAAAGTCAAGATAAATTACATTTCTTCTCCCCTATCCTCATCTGTAGCTTTCCTTTCATCTCATTTCCTGGTTATCTTCCAGTTTTGATTATACCTTTCTGAATTTTTAGGAAATGTAGCGGACTTTTAGTTGAAAAAGAGAAAGTCATTTTTTTTGTATATTTGTAGCCTAACACAACTACGATAAGCTCTGAAACACCACGGGGGGCCAGGGGTGGATTACGGGAGGCCTCCCCGTCAGGTTTCCTCGCTTTATCTGAGCCCTTACCTAGCTCCCTCCTCAACGTGGTGGCAGTTATTTGATTGCTGAYGTTGGAAGTAAGAGGAAAGCCTCCAGTGACATCATTTATTGCTCTCTGGAGAGCAGCAGTCGAGATTTTCCTGCCTCCTTGTTTGCAGCTCGAAGGGACTTCTTACTGCCATGAGCAATAAGGAACTTGGGAGCTTTTGTGCTATCTTCCTATTTGTCTCTCGTTTTTGCACTCTGGACATTCCAAAAATAATGAAAAGTCCACAGTGATTCATATTTAAGGGAAATTCCTGGCACTTCCTTCATGTTTCCTTCTTGGAGAAATTTCAAAGGTACAAGCCATATTATATTACTTTTCCTTGTTCCATATCAGTATAGCCTGTAAATAYACATATTTTAAGAGCTGCCAACTCCTGAGCGTCATTTTTTTTTTCTTATATTGTTTCTCACTGGATTTTGTAAATCAAATCTTTTAATGTCCTGAAGATTTTTCCTCCACATTCTTCCACATTTCCATTCTAAAAATCACTAAATCCCCKTAAGAAAATAATTGTATTTATCCCCACCTTCTGCAGCAAAATMCGTCCTCATCACATTCTAAAAATATTCTGGATGCTCTAGGGTCTATTTCCCAACACTCTTTTCCCAACAAATATTTGGTTAAATACTATTTCATCAAGTTGAATGATTGCTAGTTGTTCACAAAAAGAAGTTGTGTCCAACTAATGTTCTTGGTTTGGTGGTCGTTAATGGTAGGCTCTCAACCCAGGAGCACTCAGGCTTTTTTCTCCCTTTATTATGATCAAGACACTTCCCAAGGCTCAGCTCCCTCCATAGTCTAGACTTACATAGAGATAAACATTCATGGAGAAATCTTTCCTTCCACTGATCTTGRCTACTTTTTTTCTGTATTAATTCATTAACAAATGAAAGATCCCACCAAATTAACATTTGTTGCCTAAATCACAACTTTATATGGAAACTCATACACTCTTGCATTTAGTTTTCATACATCCCCCCTGAGTCTACAAACATCTTAAACATCAACAGGCAGATTCACTGTCCTGCATTTTTGTACCAGTTCACCCTGCTTATAAAGAGCCCCGTGTCCATATGCCTCTGCCTGCCTCCACAAATCCTAATTTGAAGTCTCCCTCTCTGATTTTGGTAACTCTAAATTAAAACAAAGAAACCTAATGAAATAGAGCTCTYCTCAGCAATCTTCTCTGTACCTTTAAAAATCACAGTTATTCACATTGACAGAATCATGTCAATTAGAATTAATGACAAGTTTTTCTCATTTTCTTGTGAAATTTTCCATTCCCCCTTCTTCGGTGTGAGACCTTCCAACAGAAATGTTGGCCATTACTATGTGGGTAAGACAGAGTAATGGAAAACTATGGTGAAAAAACAWCACAGAAGCCTCGATCAACAAGAAAGCAAATATCCATCATGATTTTCAGTGGTTTCACAGTTATATGAACCTGAGACCCCACTAGTACCTTTTGGATGGCAAAGCTTCTGCAACACTGCTGGAGTTACACACTTACATAGGAAAAAAAATCAGGGGTTAATCCCGAGTGACCATACTGGCTCTATGAGCCCTATTTGTACCAGTGTGGCCACACAGGTGCAGCAGTCTGCAGATGGACGGTTGCAGCACAGATCACTGCACAGCCCTTCCATTTCAAACCAGCAACCCAGTGCGTTTTCCCACCAAGCATTTGGAGGGCAAAAATCCCTAAAACAGGCAAAATTCTCCATCTAGTCTCCTCCCACCATGTCCAAGTCATTTACTTACCGCAGGAAGGATCCTCAGGGCTCTAATGGCAAGATGCTTTTCCTCACCAAAGCGTCCACATTCCCCAGGGCAGATTTACTGATGTATATATACACCTAATGCAGGAAGTGGCCTCCTCATAAAAGATTTCCTGTATATGCAAATAAGCACTATCACAAACACTCCTGTACATCCTCAACACACACTTCTTGTAACTTGCAGAGGATCGCTGACTTTCCCTTAAACCATCCCAGCTATTTTATTTAGCATTTCCTCCAAATTGTGGACTTTATCATTCTGGCTATCTTTTTTTTGTTCCTCACTGTCACTACAGAAGAGATCATAGCTCAATAAAATTCCTGTCCGCTGACATAGTCTCACGACAGGAACATCAGTGGCATCACCGTGAAAACAGCTGCGACCTCTGTTCAGCACTGCCTTTACTATTTGCTTTTTGCTTTTGTTTTTCCTTAGTGATAGCTTTTTTATTCTAACTTCTAAGCAAAGCAAATTCTAGCTAGAATTGCACAAAGCACTTAGTGTTCACATTCAGAAGGTGACTTTTTGATTTTGATATTCAAGGGATCAGATTGCTCTTTAAAATACCATTTAGTAACCATAAAAATCTTGGTAGCATGTTAAAACAACTTTTAAAAAGAAACAACTTGTTTCCATTTACTGAGTAATCCTGTTTGGTAATATTTTCTATTCTATTCTATTCTATTCTATTCTATTCTATTCTATTCTATTCTATTCTATTCTAATCCTATCCTATCCTATCCTATCCTATCCTATCCTATCCTATCCTATCCTATCCTATCCTATCCTATCATTTTTATATTTGTTTTCTTTTAGCTAGCAAGTGTCACTTGCTTGGTTCTTAGTTACACGTATTTAAGGTGCTTTTCTCTTGCACCCCATGCTGCCCCACACTGCGGGTCCTCTCCATCACTAGGGCCTCTCATACCTTGCCAATACACAGCTAACAAATACTAGCATTCAAGAACGGCAGCTTCGCAGCAGTGCTTTGGTGCTTATGTTTAGAACCGCCTGCCAGGAAAACTGAGGGAAACTTCRGCTGAAACTCCTCATTAGGGACTGAAAGTTGTGAAACTAGATAGAAGTGGATAATGATAATAATAATAATAATAATTATTATCCAGTATAATTATGCAGGCAGCACCGGCAGAAGAGCAAACTCACGGTGATGCGCGCCGGGGCTGGCAGGAGCTCCCCAACGGGGCAGCTTTCCTTCCGCATCCGAGTTCCTTCCCTAAAGTCTCCCCTCTGCTTCAACACGTAACAGTTACATGGCAGCAATTGCAGGGCAACATTAGTTGGTTTCTACATTCCTGCCCCAGCAACGGAAACAACTTCTGCAAACAGGTTTTCTAGGAAAGCTTTTTTTAGGTTTCTATGCTCTGATTTTATATGTATCTCAGCATTGAAGAGTGATGAAATGTCCATGTTTGGAGCACATGTGTTTGTAGATCCCAAGACAGTCACAAAGCAGTACATTATTACCACCAGCATCCATAACTTAGCAGGAGACGTGAGGAGTACTAATGGCTAATCCTCCTTCCCCTTTTTACTTTTGGTTTGTTTTTCGTTTCTCAAAAACAGTACATGCTCAGTAACATCTTTTCTCCTATGGATCTATAAAATCCAGACTAAAAGAAAAATAGTTTACTAGAAAGGCACTTTGCCATGAACATTTTGCTACTGGGAGCATAAATGCTAGAAATAAACCAGATGAGGCACAAAAGCTTCTTTCAAAATGTTCTGTCAGTATATTTCAAGCCACACTTCTACTACTAGCAGCTTTTGCCTTTCTCTCTGAATTTGCTGTCACCAAGAAGGGCTGAGTCCCACTCCTGTCTCCCCTGCACAAGCTCCAGTGCTCACAGTGGCATTGCTGAGTTGATCCTGTTCTCAGCTAAAACCACTTTTCTGCCTATTTAGGCCCACTGAAAGACTTGAGGAGCTTCAAAGCCAAGACCAAGGCCAAGGAAAACTGAAGGGAGAAGAGGACTTGCCATCAACAGCAGCAGTCTGCAGGTGGCCTGGATCAGCTGGGACTTGCTCTTTGCTCCCAAACATGATGCTCCYGAACGAGTCACCTTCTCCCAGGCCTCACTGGGATGTGAAAAGGGGGTGTGGAAAAGACTTCAGACTTTCTGGATACAAGATATTTGCAAAGTGTGCAGCTGGCAGAACAGAGAACACAATTACAACTCAAAGCCTTCTCAGAAAAAGCAGCACTAAATATATTGCAGATTGCTTGCTAAACCTTCCTGTTGAACTTTTCACACAATACTCAGCTCCCCATTTCTGATAATCTGTGCAGTTAAGTAATGACTAGAACTGGCCAAGCACTTGAATAGGTACAGTTTTTATTTTTACAAAGCCATGGAGATTCCTCCATGAACACATTCATATTATTTTAGTAAAATATTCTTTAAAAAGCTGTCTCTACACATGTTGTTAGATCCTACTGGAAACATGAGTAATTCAGTTTTGAAGTGGTGCACACACACAATAATGAAAATGTACTGAATACTGAGTAATTCTTTCTGAGAATGTGAGCAGCTTCCAAAAAAGATTCAGACCAAAGAATAGGCCACCAGATTATTTGTTACACAATATGTAAAGGTTCTCAGATATTAGTTTCACAGATTAATCATTTTTTTCGTCATGTTTATCTTCCTTGTGATCATCAGTCTGCTTCTGCTTGTTACTGATATCTTCAACAAGGCTTTTAAGACGAGACAAATGGTGCAAGGCCCTAGATTAGGAAAAACAAGTCTTTCATAACAGTGTACATACAAGCACTTACACTTTAAACAGTCTGGTTTCTCATCAACAGTTTAACACTTTGAATGGTGTTAGATACAGTTCTCATCTCCAAGTCTAACTCTTGGATTCACCCCATCTTAAAGATTATAAAATACATTAAGATTAAAACAAAAAAGCCTTTTCAAAGTGGAAGTTCAAGTATGTGTTCTCAAATGCAGGTCACACAAATAAGTACTGTTTCTACTAAATAATTAAAGCAATAGGTTATTTCACATAGCATACTAAATGCTGCCAAATATGTCAGAACAAAGCTTAGCAATACTAAGAGTTACTGTTTTTTAATTAAAAAAAAAATCTTTTATTTAACATTGCAGTATAGCACTAGACAGCAACAGCGAGATTTGTTCAAGCAAATATGCTATATAATCAAAAGCTGTTTCCCATTCTGTCTTTTCTAAACTTATTATTTCTTCATTCTTACAATTACTTACAATTGTTCACTAGGACTCTGCTGATTTCATATATGGACTATGTATCCTATCAGTTATTGTCCTCCAAACAATAAAAGAGTAAGAAAATATTTTGTCCCACATTATAAACTTCTTGAAGTTTGTATTTTAAAGTCCACCTATATGTAGCAATACCAACGTTATTCTGGTGTCCAGATTTTATTTCAGTATAGAAGACACAAGGTTTCAGAGCAAATCTCTGCAATGATGCAGATAGATAGATAGATATTTAGATATTTCTCTACAGTATCCATGTTTTTAATTATTCTTTACTGGTTTATTCTAACAAAAGTTTTCGGATCACATGACAAGTCTCTTGGCTAATTTATCATTCTTTTTATGAATATCTTTAGGAAAGTGAGTGACAAGTCTGAAAACCAACAGTCACTTACTTCTGAAGAGAATTAGTAACAGGGATCATCTCACTGTTGCACAGTTCTGATTCAGCACCTACTTTTTCGGAAATCTTAAAAAAGAGAACAAAAAAATGTTAATTGATGAAAAGAAAGAGCTTTGCTGTAACTGTAAGCATGGCATTTTTATAGCACATTTCACTGGATTGTGAACAACTCTATTGTACAGTTAAAAAGTATTTCACTTGGGAGGAAACTAAGATCTCTTCTCCCACCTGCTCTGAGTAGGGGCTGCTCTGTGGACACACCAGGTTGCTCAGGACTTTATCCAAACACCTTCGAAGATGGAGAGCACTCAGTGACTCTGAGCAACCAACTCCAGTGCTCAAGGTCCTCACAGGGAAGAGTTTTCTCCTCACATCTAGCCAGAACCTTTTGTTTCAGTTTATATCTGTTCTCTCTCATCCATCTCTCATGTCCCACAGTGAAGTGGCTCTATCTTCTTGATGCCCTCCTCCTAGGCATTCCCAAACCTGCTCTTTTCCAGGCTGAACAAGCCAGCCCCCTAAGCTCCAGCTGCAGCCCAWGGACCACCTCCGTGTCCTCCAGCACTTTATTGATGTGTCCACCCTGAAGTGAGGTCTCAAATGTGGACACTCTCTCACGTCTGGCTTGTAGCTACTGGGACCACTGAGACTTTTCAGCAGAGCTGCTCGCAGCACAGGCAGTCCCAGCTTGCAAGACCTGCTCTTTCTGCCCACATTCAAGACTTCATGTTACTCCTGTTGAATTCCATGAGGTTTCTTTTGGCCCATTYCTCCAGCCCACTTGGTCCATATATACAGATCATTTCATTCACTACCTAGTATAAGCTTTACCAGGTACATTCGATTTAAGAACACAGTGTAAGCAACTTTACAAAAAAAAACTTATAAAATGACAATAAAGTCCCCGAAATCATTTTGAAATTCAAGGACTACAAAATACAGAATCAGTGATTCTGAAGTAGGATGACAGAGCAATTTGGAGTGTCTGATCTTTCTAACTACTGCTGCATACCTCTCAGAGGGAGGGATTAGCAGGGATGTGAGGAGCAGAGAGGTGCCCTGCACRAGAGCAGGGCGCTGCGCGTGGCAGCTGCTGCGGGTCGGAGGGGACGGCGCTGCCCAGGGATGCTGCCACCTCCCGGGCTGCAAACGCTGCCGTCTGCAACAGGGCAGAGCGGCAGGAAGGGCGCGCAGAGAAGCGCAGCAAGGCCACAGCTCTGGCTGTGTAAAACGACCAAAAATACGGGACTGACAATGTCAGCTCCTTGGAATGCTAKGGGAGCACTGCTAGAAGGGGGTTTAACATCTTGCAAGAACAAGTAATGTTTGCTAATGATACACACAGGTTTATTCAGGTAATTGGCATCTACCTAGTAACCATTAAATTCTTAGAAAAACGCAAATTAATTCAAGGAGATAACATTTATGGATACAAATTAATAATATGCTGTTCAACTAGAATACTGACTTCAGTGTTCATCTCCTTGTCTCAGAAAAAAGAGGATAACAGATATAAAGGGTTCATATCATTAAAATGAAAGAGTGAATAATATCAAGTTCACCAAGAAGGTGATTAGTAGGAAAGAATGGGGTAAAAATGAATAATCAAAAGAGAGTAAATCGAATGTCTGATCCAATTCCAAGACAACAGTAGGAATAATAAGAAATATGTAACAAAACTTTCCTCTTGAACTTGACTCACAGCCTACATGGCACCAGCGAGGAATTAGCAGTACACATTAATAACAACATATTAATAACAAAAGCCCTTCTCCCTTTACTTGAGGCAGAAAAAAATATTACTTAAACAAAAATAGGGAGTGTAAAACTAAAATCGTTACTAAGCAAAGCATTTTATAGTTGGATGTGTTTATATTCCTAACCACGATCAAGGGTTGTACTATAGGGTTTAACAATTTAAAGAATTCAACATGCTGAAATACAACCAAATTAGTTTGACTTTCTGGTTTACATATTTCAGTAAGAATGACAGCAATTTCAAAAGCATTCTCTGTTTTAACATTTACGTTAAAGTGCCCATTTTTTTGGGGCACTATCATCAACAAAATACCCAGCTTTACTGACCTTATTTTTGTTTTTTATACAGTCTTCTAGGAATTCATGAACGATAGTTGCCTTGGAGAACTGCAGAATATCCTCCTCGTCCTCAGTGCAYACAGGCCTGGGTGATTTGCTAAAGAAACATTAAGGATGCAATGCGGAATAACAACAGGTTTATAAAATGAAAKAACTGTTTTAGGATATAGCCACTATAATGGAATCAGATACATTTGCCTCAGTGCAACCCCAGCACCTGTCAGCACTTTGGTGCTTTGAGTAAAACCGGAAAACTGTTTTGATTTATTTCTCTAGTTTTGCCAGTATAAAAAAGCAAGTGAACAAAGAAAGGTGATAAAAGGATTTCTTTACACATAGCTATAATTTAGTACACACACGCATATCTAATTCCTGCTATTTCCTGCATACTAATGCCATGAATCCAAAGAAAAATACTTGCCTTATCCTTGTTGACCCTTAATCCTTCTATAGTCTTAAAATTATCCATTTTAATTAAAAACGAGGAGTTTCATGGAAACAGAAATTAATGAAGTCCGATTTCAATGGTGCTGTCCTAGGTGAATATTCTAGTGGCTAGCAGAGAGTTAGAATATTATCCTCTCTCTCAGGATAAGCTTGAATGGTACCTCTTCCATTGTCAAATGAAAAAAGTACTCTTGCCAGAATACTGTATTTTGAGACTTTTATTTGTCTGCTAAATAGTGTTAAAATTAACCAGTGGTCCAAAATCTTTTGGGTAATGGGAAACTCAGAAAGAGGCAATGCAAATACCATCCTCACTTTCATTCTAAATATGGAGTTATAGGAACATCCAGTATTGATTTCTAGCATTCTTTGGACCTATAAAATAACCTTTCACTTACTCAACAGTGGAAATTTCCACTCTCAAGAGTGCTCCAAAACTTCCCAAGACCACACGGCCTTTTTAAAGCACACATTCCACAAATACTAACCAGTGGACTCCTAAAGAAGAATATTTAAGCAAACTTAAATTGTTAGATTTAATAGTTTAGAAGTAATAACTTTCTATGTTAATGATGAAGGATGTAAGAGCCACTATAAAAAGTCAGCAGAAAGTAATACTGATAGCACTCTTCTCAAGCTGGTGAAAAAGGGAAAGCAGTGCACGAATCTCCTGACCTGGAAATAGCACTTCACAGGAATCTAGCTCTAAATCTTTCACATATATACCACAGTACTGCTACTTATAGTCTATATACAAAGGCACTAAAAATATTATGTATTTTCATTAAAAAAAAGTCTGTTTACTTACAAAGCAACTGGAATATTTTCCCATGATCTTTCTGCTTCCAGTATATCTATTGTAGACGGACTATCATCATTTTTCAGGGCATTTGACAAATCATCAGTTGAAGTCTCCAGAGATTTCTCTGCCTTCAAGACTAGTAGCTCGAGTTGGTCTTCTAAAAAACAAAGATACAGTATGTTCAACCCCCTTCAAGCTGACATTATTTCCACACTATGTTCAATTTTACGTAACGCTCAAAGAAAATGAGTAMAGATGAGTTACAAAGCACTGGAAATATTTGACAGATACTGTAGCCCCAACAYAGCTCCTTTGCTTATCTTTGTATGCCAGTATGGCATATAAATCATCTGTACTGAGTGGGATCTGAAAGCTTGTTGACAGAAGGGGGTCTAAAGTACTCAAGCATTTCTTCTCCTAGCTTATTTAATACAAATATCACATGCAGCAGCATTCAAGATTTGTAACAATATTTTTCAAGTGCTTTCATGYTGCAGAAAATACAATTAAGACTATGGCACAAAACAAAGTTAAATACTATATACTGATGCCGCAAATTCCTTGGTTAATTTTCCTGTTATTTTATACAGTTTTTTTCTAACRTGTGCTTTTACAAACACCTGGGAGACAAATCAGGCAAATGTATACAGGTATATTACATATAAACTCACATGCAAAAGTCACACTTAAAAATATGTTGTGAGAAGAACTCA